AGAAATATTGACAATGATATTTTATTACTTGATATAAGTAATAATGAAGAATATATATGGACAAACAATTTCGATCCGGCGATTGTTTTAACAAATGATTCCACTACACCAAATAATCAAATGATCAATCCGTAACTTCAACAACTGGCACACCTTTACCAATTATAATTGGTGTAACTATAGCAACATTGGTAGGCGTTATTTTTCTATTTCTTGGAGGCTTTTACTTATATAAATGGAAGAAAAATAAAAAAGAAAATAATAGAGCAATACCAACTCCTGGAAATGCAAATGATGACAATTGTAATCAAGAATCTATTACAATTACCGCCCAAAGGCGTGTTGATAATTATGGACACGAAAGAATCTCAGCAATGCCAGCGAATAATACTTTTTATTACGAACAAAAACCGTTACCTGTTTCTGAAAATATTTATCATTATGGACAACAAATGTCTATACCTGAAAATAGTAATTCAAGTGGCAATTTTCAAAGGTCATCAATACAAAATATTGACTTTGATAATCTAAAGAATGAAATAGTTCAGGTGGTTAGACAGGAGCTTGCACAAAATAGATACAGATAGGTTAATTCATACGGAATTAATTTATTTTTCACGTTTTTTAATATTATTATTTTTATTGTAATTATGACTTTAAGTATCATTAAAAAATAAAAATTTTACTAAATTTCTATATTTTGATTTATAATTTCGCATTTTCAGATATTTAATATAACAATTTTAGAAAAATTACACGATTCAAATGCACAAAATATTATGCACTTTCCGATATTATTAAAATACAAAATTTGATTGTTTGACATCACTTTCCTTATTATAGAAAACAAAACTGGAGATTGGATGTAGATTGACTTATAATATTTTTATATTAAGAATTTTGCAATTTAATTTTTTCGAAAAATTCGTTAATAGGAACGATGTAGGATCGTTCAAAAGAAAAATAATAAATTGATTCAATATAAAGGAGATCAATGTAAAGTATATCACAAATAATGTTATTTAGTTATAAATTTTCTATTGTATTACTTGGAATGTTGGCTGGTTTTGAAATTCGCTAGCTCGAGCCGGTTTTAATTCATTCAATTGGTTTTTAAAATTGCATGTATTATTTTAAGGGCAAGGAAAATTTTGTAAAACAAAAAAAAAAAAATAGTAAATTAACTTTTACATATATGAAAAGCCTCAAATGATATTACGTTATAATTTAAAAATCAGGCGAATTATTACTGCAATGCGCAGTAATTTAGCTATAAAATTAACTTCGAATCCGCAGTATTTTTCATTAAATTAGGGTAGCCGTTCGAAATAATAAAAAAATTCATTTATATTTGCAGTAAAATTGGAAAAATACAGATAGTGTTCCCACATCTATGTGTCTTATTTATATCATATGTGAGTTTTTCTATTTAAATTACGTTACAGATCATATGATTATTATGTTCGTAACTCGATTTTAATATTCCGATACATTCAAGAACCTCATGACAATTTTTTAATATTTTGGAAATCTCCTTTCACAAATATTTTTATTATGATCACGTGATCACGACTTTTTGGTAGTTACGCTGGGAAATCTCGGATTCAGATGATGAATGATTATTTCCATCAAATTTTTTTGTGCAGCAATCATTCTACGTTTTGAAAATTTAAATTCATTTCTTTATTAGAATCCAAGCATGTCAAAGTATACTTCAATTTATATCGTATTATGGCTTTAATTCATTTATTAGCAGGAAATTGCCAAATAACGCCCTTATAGAAACTTATCACGATATTTACATGCCACAATTATTAATAATAAATTATTTTTCGCAGGAGAATATGAATTTTTTTTATTGCCGTGTCTACTCCATTTAATTCTTTAGAAAAATGGAACGATTTATCAATAATGTAAACCGATTTACACATCGTGGTACTTCGTCTGTTTAAGGGTGTGTAATAATAACACCTTGATTTAGAGTCAGTAATATCTTTTCAAGTGATGATGAATTCAAAGATATACTTATTTTGATACGATAAATCTAAATTTGAAAACAGGAAGTTCAATTAACGCACCATCTCTAAGGTTCTGGTACAGTTTCGTTACCAAATCAACAAATTGCCTATTTAGGTAAGCAAGATATTTATCATATTTTAAAATTTTATGCCTGCTAAAGTCAAAACTATATTATATACTTATTAACAAATCCGTCGAAATATAGGGTTTCGACTTTGCCATTTACTAAAATGAGTTTTGTCAGGCAACTATAGGCTTTACACCCATTTTCTTTGGAATAATATCCACTGGTGCAGGTGGCGAATCTTCTTGTTTCTACTACTACTGCTGCAAAAAAAAAAATAAAATTTGCTTATTTTTTTGCGGCATTTTGTTTCGAAGTCTTGGAAATGCACATATTTTCTAGCAATTTATTCTCTCAAAGTTCATTTTTACACTTCTAATTGTCTAATCTTTGTAAAGCCGTTATAATGTGATTGCTGACTCCGCCTCGGCATTCTTACCTTTTATAGCTTATCTTGTAAATTCTTGTACATAGCGTCTTTTTATCGGTAAGGCATTTCTTCCGCTAAACTGAAGTTGCTTCTGCTAAACACACGTTTATTCTTTTCTTGGAGCCAACTATCCACTGATGCGAAATTTTTTTACGCTGATGTAATTTTGAAATTAAAATTAAAAATTTTGCTTACTCCTTAACGAAGCTTTTTTTCGATTTTCTGCTCTGCGGAGGTCATTATAAGTCTCTGTTCTCTACAAGTTGATGTTGTTAACAGTTTGCGACTGTTGATGTGTTGCAGTTGTTGTTATTAGCCTTTGTTTGTCCCATAACAGAATTTTTTGCTAGCTTTTCTTATATTATTATTATTATTATTATTATTATTTTGTAAGAATGTCTAAAGTGAAAAATGCATAATTCATTTTATTTCTAACAAATATAAATTTGAAGTAAGATTGTGGATTATATGACATAAAATCACGTCATAAACGTCACAGATGTTCAGTATAAATGTATCATTTTTTTTAAAACGAAAAGATTTAAATTTCTAGAAATAAAAGGTAAATATTCCTTCTTCTCAAATACGTTCTCTGTGTGCACATTCAACTTCCTTTGCTATATCATTGACATACTTTCGTCCTTCTATCGAAATTTAATACTAAAAAATTTATCAATAAAAAAATATGCAGACGCAAAATTTAGTTGAATCATACCAATTTTTTTACTCTTCTTCACGCCCTTCTCATCGATCCTAATAAATTTAATATAATAAAAATCTGAATTATCCTTCCAATCGCTCGGATGTTTTGGTCGTTGTTAAGTATATGGGGTAAAATCCTATGCCTCATCCACGTTAGTATTGACGATACTCCATAGATTCTATAGATTCTCTAATGTGCCATACTTGTTCTGTCGAATACTATAATACAGACGTTTCTACCTTTTGAGCAAAAAATCTATTTTCAAATAAAAGTTTTTTATGGATAGAACGAATTCGTAACCTTTTCCAGAACACAAAAAGAAATATTTTATTTTCTAATACATTTGCTTTTATGATTTTTTAGAATGCCTATTTCATTTGAAAAAAAAATTTTAAGCCTAATAAAATGATGAACTTAAATATTTTTACCTATAAAATTTAGTTTAAAATACCGTATACAATATATTTAATCTTTTTGAGATATTTGATATATCTGAAAATGAAAGAGAAATAAATGGTTTAGTATAGGGACCTTCCAATAAGCGAGTATATGTTATGTTATAAAAAAAAAAAAGAGTAATCGTCTATGATGATCTATCAATTTCTTTAACTGTACTCAATTATAGTTACACGACTTTTTTTTTTTATATAAAAATGATCTGCGTGGGACATGTCCGGCGTTTGAAATTATCACAAAGCAGTGTCACATCCTTGACAAACCACGCCATCACCAATAATTATTTCGAGAACTGTAATTCAACGATACAAAGGCCAAATGCTAACCACAAACATGTGTGCTACAATGTGCAAAAGCAGAGATTTGTATTTATTCAAATATTTTATCAAGAATTAATTCTTTATCGTAATATTCTTTAATTATAACGAATTCTAATAATGTCAAAGAATTATTCGATATATATCGTATTATTTTGGATCGTAATTCGATCGATAACGAAAGTAAATTGCCAAGCGGCAAGTTTTGTGGCAACGAAACGATATGGTCATACAGCTACACTTATTGATGATAAATTATACATCTTAGGTGGTCGGGATGAAAAGGAAAACACTGATAAAATTGGGACTGAATTTTTTTATCTTGACGTTTCCGTACCATTTAATACTCAAAATATGCTATGGCAAGATTTAACAAGCATCAATAAAGTTCCATCACATCTCTCCGGTGCATCCGTAAATGGTGGTGCAAATAATAAAACCTTGTTTTTATGTGGAGGAATACCTCAATTTAGTGTAGCGATGTCTTTAGTTTATGCATTTGATACTCAAAGTAATTCGTGGAGCAGTCCAACGATAACCGGAGACTATACCGTGAGAAAAGATAACATAATGGCCGTTGTTGACAGAAATGGGAAAATGTATATGTTCAGTGGTCATCGTAAAAAAGTTTTTTATAATGATTTTCCCATTTTAGATACGATAAATTTGAATTGGGTAGCAGGAAGTGTAATTAATGCACCCACACCCAGAAGCATATATGGTGTGACCTTTTTACCAAATAATTTCATTATTATTATAGGTAAGTAATTAATAAAACAATGCAACAATGTTAGCTATTAACTAACCTAGTTTATATAATTATAATTTAGGTGGTTATGACATTAATAAAACAAGACCATTAAATGAGGTGAAATTATTTATTAAATAATGTATTTATTGAAATTTTTAAACTTTGTTTTAACGATATATAAATCATAGGTTTACTTGTATGATACAATTAATGATGTTTGGAGTACAAAGGCAAGTTCATTGTATTTTCTCTAGGAAAGTAATTCACCTTATTTATAGATTTAAAAAAAAAATTAGGTAACCTCAGGTACAATACCATCGGATAGATGTGCATTTTCCGCTGTTCTTGGTAAGTATTTCATAAAACGAATGTTAACTAGAATGTTTTGATCTTTTAATTAATTTATTACGCTAATAAAAGGATTGGATGGACAACGAGTAATAATTTTTGGAGCCCATAAAGACAATAATCCTAAACCTGAAGAACTACTTTATGTATTAAATCTATCAAATTTCGAATGGTATATTCCAAAGATTACTGGAAAACTTCCATTTACTAGATATTGGCATCAAGCGAATGTGATTGGAAAATATATGGTCGTATCATTCGGTAAATATTAAAAAAGTATTTGCATAATAAGTTTCAAATAACAATTAATTAATATCATTTAAATATCTAAAAAGGATTTGGTTATTATGAAAACGATGATAATGATATTTTATTGCTTGATATTAGTAATAACGATGAATATATATGGACAAACGATTTTGTTGTTACTAAACCATCGGCTACTGCTTTAGCACCAAATGAACCAACAAAAAATTCTCCTTCAATACCAAAATCTTCACCAACTAAACCGCCAGTCAATTCAATACAAACACAAGGAACAACGTTATTATCAATACCTCTGTCAGCAATAATTGGAATAATTATAGGAACATTAGTCAGTGGTATTCTTCTTTCATTTGTAGGCGTTTTATTATATAATCGAATTAAAAATAAAAAGAAAATTAGCAAAGCAATACCGACTCCCGGCAATAGACAAGTTGATGATTCTGAACATGAAATTATAGCGATCCCTACTAGTAATATAAATGATCTTGTACAAGAAATGATCTCAAAACCTCCAGCAATTGATGATAGTATTAATCATGAACAACCACCAGTTCATGTAAATACGACTAATGGACAACAATTGTTACCCTTTCCTGTAAATGAAAATATAATGGCAACTTCAAGCATCATTAATCGAAGATCTTCGTTACAAAATCTAGATGATGTATTGGAAAATTTTAAAAATGATATGCTTCATGTCGTTAGGCAGGAAATCAAGCAAAATCTAAGTCAAAATAATAAATAAGCTATTAATTAATTTTATTAAATAGGATAAGTTAATTTCAAATATGAAGATATTTTAAAACTTAGACTTGAAATATTAAATTATTACGTTTCATATAAGATCGACCTAAATATTTTATAAATGATTGTATTTTAGTTATTAAACTTTCTTTAATTAAAATATTCTTAATAATTTTTTAAATAAAATAAAAAACAAGACATTTTATGGTATTTAATTACACGTCGAAAGATCTGTGGCTATGTGGCTGTGAATTTAAATACAACACCTGCAAGATAAAATGAACGTACTATTTTAGCTTTTCTTCAATTGATAGTTGTCAAGTGATTAATTGACAATATAATTAATAGAATTCTTAACCCGTTTGAGCTAACTCGGTTACACCATAGGGTTGAAGACTTACAATGATCGTCATGACATAACATTCTACTTCTTATTTTATAACATAAGGTAAATGAAATTAGATACGCTACGATTCCATACCATAAAAATGTTTCTTAAACAACTAAATTTGTTACGCTCTAGCACTGCTATCTGACACTATTACATTGAAGGATTAAATGGTTAAAAGTATACATTGGTTTATATATATACAATTAAAAATAAATTTTACTTATTAAATATTCAACAATAAATGAAATCACAGTTTGTAAGTTATTTACTTCTCTTAATGTTTGGTAATTTTATATATAATTTATTTCAACTAAATTAATGATAGTTTTGCAAGTGGCATGATTGGAAACTTAGTTTATTGTTTACGTAATCTACCACTAAATATTCAACATTCTTAAATTTATTATAACGCAGGAAAAACGAAAAATAAAAAAGAGGAAAATGATAATGGAATGATTTCCGAGACGCAAATGCTACACTTACTATATAATGCGCAGTTGGATACAAGCTATAAAAATTTATTGTAGTATTTATTAACTACTAGATACTTTTTGTACCCTCGTGAAAATTTATATTTTTGAATTCGAGTTAATAGTGAACATCAAAATTTTTATTTACGACCCACAAGTAATTTGATAAGTTCCCGTTTGCTAATTTGCAAAGGACTATGCTATATATACAATTATTTGACTTATAAAGAAAAAAGCGAGGAAACATTTTAGCAAAATTGATAAATTTTCACATTTATTACTTTAGGTTATGAAAAAAAGCTCAAGATTGAATATTTATTCTTTTATAAAAATGTTTTAAAATATGATTCTTTTGAAGTGTCTCAACATCAAATACGACCAGGGTAAGACCTTAAATACTCTTCAACACCTGTTCTGTTGTTCCTTTCAAATAGCCAATCAAAATTTAGTAAATATTTTGACTAACGGAACAGACTCAGAATAGAATGAACGGGGCTTAAAATTCAGGTGTAATTTTTTCTATTAAGGATTAGCGTTAAATTTTTCGTTTCCCACCTAAACCATATCAAGTATGTTTTATACTTTTATTTTTTTAAAAAAAATTTGATAAAAAATGATTTTGGGGGATTTGTTTGGAATTCAGCGTAAATCAGAACCTAAAGTTGTTCTTATGATGCGTTTATTAACGTTACTTTTAATTTCATTATGTATATCGCGATGTTGATAATTGATGTGTAAAATGAACTTCCTTCGATTAAAACTTCGGAAGTTCAAGTGGATTCGCTTGCGATAAATAATTTAACATAAGGAAAAAAATCTTTAAAGAATCACCCACCATAAATAAACCGTGAATTTATACAACAATAGATGTCGTGTTTTCATTTGATAATCCATTGTAATTTCACTTGGGCATATAATGGTAATTTACTTTAATGTTTACAAAGTGTTTCTAAATGTTGATAAATATTCCGAATAATTATTTATAATTTATTTAATTCTTAAAGTTTGATCGCAGGACCGAAAAAGAAACTTGTATGAGATATGTGATTTCACCACAATATAATCAAGGGGCATACCGAGGATATTTTTCTTTAAATGATAATTCAACTTTATTTACTTTTCCTAAACTTAATGAAGAACGGTTACATAGTTTAACATTACAAGTGGTGGCCGATTTTAATACTTCCTAAACCAGACCCCACGCTAGTATATGCATTTGTTCTTGATTCAGGTTGGTAAATAATTCTAGAATTTTTGCATATAATATTGTTAGTAATTTTTTCCTATAAAGTGATCGGACGGTACATTAAATTTAACTGTGTTCAATGTCTCTCAAAAAATTTATCATGAACAATCGTTATTATTTAATAATAAGTTTCTAATACCAGATAGAATGGTATGTTTATTCTTCATAGTGGAAATATTCTTATAAATCATTTTCCAGTAATATCTGATTTTGGATTGAGTAAGTCTTCAACAGAATCAACAGATGAAGATAAAGAAGTTATGGAGTCATACCTTATGTTGCTCCAGAGATATTTAAGGGAATCAAATATACTTTAACTTCAGATATATATAGTTTTGGCATGATAATGTGGGAGTTTATGACAGGTAGAAGGCCTTTTTGGGATAAAATTCATGATGTAATGCTTATTATTGGGGTATGCGACGGACTACGTCCTCCAATAATTACAACCGCACCTAAAGGCTATATTATATTAATGCAAGAATGTTGGGATTCAGATCCTAAGAAAAGACCAACAGCTAAATATGTATGGGATAAATTCCTTGATATTATTAATGCTGAAATGAATAATCCAACAAAAATCTTAAAATCATCGGATATTGGACCAATAGCATCATATAATCCAGGAGCAATCTACTTAAGTAGACCTTTAAGCAATATGATGAACTCCGCAATGTCAATTCTAAGATTTAGAAATAATCAAACTGATACGTTAGAATTAGGCAAGTATTTTATTTTCTTATATAGTTTTACTTGTTTATATTAATATTCAATAATATTTTATCAATACTGTACTGTATAAAAGGTAAAAGAAATTTTGAAGATAATAAGACAGAAGATATTAAGGGTGCTAAAATGAATGAATCATTTAAAAATAATACCGACAGTAAATATTTATATTTGTTAATTATATGATATAACTTTAATTGAATAAATATATTTCTTTATTAGGTTATAAGACGAAAGAACATGATTTTGATATATAATTGCGTCATATATTAAACCTATGACTTTCTTGATCAGTGATTAAAGAATATTCATTTACGAATAAAAAAAAGGAAGGAAATGAAAAGTAAAGTAAAAGAGGCAATGTTTTCAGGTTGGAGGCAACCTACTTGCCTTGGATAGATAACTTCTACAACGAACGATATTAATTTTTAGCTTCTTTTTCAAAAATATCCAAGAATGGGCTTTCTAACAAATTTTGTGTTATAATTAATTTCAAATAAATATTAATAAATTTGGTTATTATAACTTATCGAAATATAAAATAAATTAGGTTTAATATTATTATTGAAGTGGTTGTTATATGGTAATAAATTACGTTATAAAAATTACAAACTGGCGCATTATTTAGTTGCATATTATTTTATTCCCTTAAATTTAAATGGTGCAATTACTATCTTTAATGAAATTGATGTATATATAGTAAGGTGAACAACTTCACGGTAATGAATAAAATTTTTTTTTTTATCATTTTTATTTATTGCAATTACTACCAGGAAATAAGATATTAATAATAAATGGACGTTATTTTCGTAATCTATCTAAGGTATTTTGCAATTAAGAAGTTTATGAAGCAAAGAAGCTGAATGTGTTTTGTTTTTATTTATCTATCTATTCCAATAAAACATTTAAAACTTCATATAAACTCACTTTTCTATCTAGGAAAAAGGGTATAACAATCAACACACCCACATTTTCCTAGTTTTAATTAAAATATTCTTCGAATCAAAAAGGCATCTAGTGAATAACCTTGACGTTCAATTTTCTAATTTCCATAGATCATTTTGAGAATTTTGATTAGCTTTCTTCCATTATATTACGAATATTAATATTTGAGAAAATAAATCTAAAACCAAATGAAGTGATAGAATGTTTTTATATAGAATTCTTAGCGAAATCGTTTTAATGCCAAACAATTATGAATTTTTCAAAAGTATATATGCGTGTCTTTCTTATTCTTTAGTATACTTTTATAGTGTTTCATTGTCATTTTCTATAATTAATAAGTGTAATCGAACTGTTTTTTCGTTCTAATTTTAGGAACTTAACCTTGATGTTATAAAGTTGTACCCGTTACTCTTGTTAATATCCTATTCAATATTTTAACATAACGACGATGAATCAATGTTATGCTTATTTTAAATGCAGCTGTAATAATTGGTATATTTGCAGTTCGCTAAATACAACCATTTCTTGGATGGATTTGGGGTTTGCAATGGATCACATAAATTAAAACCATTAATAATCGGAAAATGTGCAAAACCACGATGTTTCAAAAACATTAATATTTATAACTTACCAATGATTTATCGAAACAATTCTAAGGCATGGATGTTACTAACTCTTTTTCAAAAATGGCTTCAAGAATTTGATCTACAGATTTCTAGAAAATATAGAGGACAACGTGTTTTTTTACTTTTAGATAATTGTCCAAGTCATAAAATAAAAGGAATGGTACTTCAAAATGTTGATGTACATTTTTACCTCCAAATACAACATCGAAGATTCAGCCAATGGATGCTGGAATCATTATGACATTCAAAAAAAATTATCGTCGTCATCAAATCCGATGGATGTTGGAACAGGTTGAAGCAGGTGAATCTGTACAAAACTTAAAATGGATATTTTACAAGGAATTAGATATGCTATTCAAGCTTGGGATGAAGTTACAGCTGAAACGATTTATAATTGCTGGCGTCATACCAAAATTCTTCCTATTGAAGAAATTGTTTTAGATAGAGAAAATAATCAAGAAACTGATTTATTGCTTAAAGAACTTACCGATACATTTAAAGCTCTTGACTTTCCGGATGGTATGCAGGTTGAAGAGTTTTTAGCTCTTCCTGAAGAAGATATTGTTTACGAAGTTCCTGAAAGAGATCATATTATCTCGGAACTTGTGGATGTGTTTAAAAAAGGGTCCGACGAAAGCCTAGATGGAGACGGAGACGAAGCAGATGATAGTGTTGAAATTGAATTTGTTAGTGTAGTTCTGCGTCAAGAAGTCTAGAGAATATTCGTGCATTTATACTTCAGCAAGAAAATGCCACAGAATATTAAGATTCGTAAATATTCTTGAGAGGTTTGTTGAAGAAATTAAAATAGGTTCGTTAAAACAACACTTTAGAGCAATTTTTTTAGTATCGTGTTATGTATATCATTATCAATTTTAGTTAGACTGATAGTACATTGCTAAAAATGTAATAAATCTAATGTCCGATATATTTTAATATGATAAAAATAAATTAATTTATAATTTAAAACTTATTAATTTGCATATTTCTCTTAATGCACACCCTCTCTAAATGCACCCTTGTATTGGGTCCCAAGGGGGTGTGCATTTAGAGAGGTTTGACTGTATATATAAACCTAAAAAGAAAAAAAAAATAAGGGAGGATAAGGGGACGAATTAAAAATATTATAAAAAAAAAATTAAAAATATAAAAAAAAATTAAAAACAATAAAAAAAATAAATTATTGGTAGATCTATTTGAATTCCGATTATATTTTATTTTTATGAATATCAGATCTATTTGTATTGTTATGTTTTAAGTGCTTGCCTTAACATATTCAATCTAAACAAATAATAAAACAATAGGGATTCGATATTTATTTATATTCGGGTGAAGACTAAATTTACTCTTTTTTAAAAAAATTTTCACGACAAAACTATAATTGATTTATAATTTGTTATTATAACCTCTTTTTTTATCATGACAACTTACAATTATAATTTTTGCATGAGCTCGTATTTGTTCAATGAAACTCTAACTTGAACTTTAAACAAAGAATTACGGAGGTATTATCACAAATGATAAAAATAAAAAAAATTATAATTTTAAAATTATAAAAAAAAAATAAGAACGATAAAAAATAAAAAAAAAAAATTATAAAAAATCAAAAAAGAATATGGGGGAGACGAATAAAATTACATAAAAAAGAAAAACAAAAAACAAAAAAAAACAAACGTGGGGAGAAAACGATAAAAATAAATAAAAAAAAAAATAATTTCGAATGGGACCCTTCAGCTTGTTACGGCGGCACAGTCAGGTGCGTGACGATTCGATCTTTTTTTTTCCATTGATTGGGATTACTAATCCCCTTTTTTTATTATTTATTTTAATTTTTATATTATATTTTATTTATTTATTTTTTCTATCTTCTAGGGCAATTTTTTTAGGTTCAATTCGGTCTTTTTTATTGTAATTAACTTTATTAATTATTTTTCGAATGTATTCTTTTTTCATTTCCAAATTTTTTTTTTAATCAATTATTTTAGCTTTGAACTTCGAATTATCATTAATTCCTGAGAGCTTTTTTTTAATTTAATTTCTTTTTAATAACCGCAATTTTTTTTTAAATTGATTTTTATATAAGTACTACGTCACACATTTTATGTGAAATAAAAGATTTCCGTGAAAGATTAATAAGAATACTTGGCTGTTAAAAGAAAGGTTGCCTACCAGATTTTATGATATTAGTGAGATCATTGTGAATAGGAAATCACCAGCGAGGAACTGCCGGAAATAATTACAATCGTTTCCATAGCCTTTGGAAAAAATGAGTAAACTAAAGGAGTTAGAAATTAGTTGAACTAATATTGATGATTGTCTGAGACATTTGCCATCAAGTTTGGAAACAATTTGGTGCTATGGCGAGGGTAAATATAAAGGATATGGATCACTAGAAAACAAATTGAGCAAGGTTGTTGATAAATTAAAATTTTTGTCGCGTGAAAAAAAGTAAGACGATTTTGCAGATTAGTTAGAAAAGATGATAAACAAAAATGTAATTTAAGTTCTTCATAAAATCGATTATACTCGATTAATCAAAATTCGAATCTTAGAGTCAAATTTTATAACCATACCTAGCGGCGACGAAGTTGCCGCACACCAACCTAATCTAGTTTCAATATAAATAATAATATAAGCGTAAAAA